AACATATTAATCCATTACGATTCCTTTAATGGCATGATATATTTGACTTTTACTTGCTAGAATTAATTTGCTATGACCCACACAAGTAGTGCTGCACAAAGATTTTTGGCGAGTTTCAGTTGCATTTCAATTGGGGACGTGTGCTAGTTGGCAGAGAGGCTATGACTCAGTGGTAGAGCCTTAGCTTTGTATACAGAAGGTCCCAGGTTCAATCCCCAGCATTGCCAGCAAAAGGGATTAGGTGATCCTGAAAGACCTGTACCTGAGACTCTGGAGGGCTGCTGCCGGTCAGAGTAGACAGTACCAATTGTGATAGACCCTTGGTCTGACTCAGTGGAAGGCTGTTCCATGTGGGCATGCATAGTGCTGGAACAATACTCTAGCCCAGGTATGTCCAACAGGTAGATTGCAGTCTACCAGTAGATCACGGAGGGGTCAGAGGTCGATCACCAGCCCCACTTGGTCTCCTGGTATAAAAGAAAAGAAAAAATGTTCGCAGTTCTTTCTGGATCTTCGTCTCCGTTTTGTTTTTGCTTATTTGGCTTACCAGCAAATGACAGAAGGTGCATTATAAATTGGGGTGAGGGGGTGGGGGGTGGAACCCAACTTTAGTGGGTTAAAATCTAATTTGAAACTAATTCGAAACTTTATTTTCGTGGTGGTAGATCACTGGCACTTTTGGCCGGAAAAAATAGATTACTACCTGTTTGAAGTTGGACATGCCTGCTCTAGCCTACCTGCTTTCTGGCTGTAGGCATCCAGCCCCTACCTGAGCTCTGTCCAGGGTCCTGATGCCTCACCTGGCATCCTAGGCTCTGGTCCAAACTGCTCCTTCACCCCTGCTGTTTACATATTAGTACAAAGTTTGCCTACCATTGGGTGCGAAGGGTCTTTCACTGAGCAGTGGCTTTTCTGTGGGTCTCCATAGTGAGCAGGAAAAGGTGCCTGCAGAAGTAGCTGTGATGTAGTTGCAAAGGTATTCCCATCAAAGCACTGGCTGTGAGCAGTGCCTGTGGGGTGTCCCCAGGACTGAGCCTTTAGGCTAACATTTGATGTTAAATAAAGCATAGGATGTTACATTGCTATATATTTTAATTTGCTATTCTTCTGTTACTTTGTATCCCACTTTTCCACCTTGAGGGCATGCATTGTGGTCTGTTTTATCCTCACGGCAACCCTATGAGATCAGGCTAGGAAGAAGGAGAAGAGAGAAGAGATTGGATTTATACCCCGCCCTTCACTACCCATAGGAGTCTCAGAGTGTCTTACAAACTCCTTTCCCTTCCCCTCCCCACAACAGACATCCTGTGAGGTAGGTGGGGCTGAGAGAGCTCTGACAGAAACTGCTCTTTTTCAAGGACAGCTCTTATCAGAATTACGGCTTGCCCAAGGTCATCCAGCCAGGTGCAAGTGGAGGAGTGGGTAATCAAACCCGATTCTCCCAGATAAGAGTCCGCGCACTTAACCACTACACCAAACTGGCTCTGAAGGCTAGAGAGGGGAGAGAATAATGGTTGAGGCATTTATGAGTTATGATTTAGCGTCAAATTATTATTTATTGTTTCATCAGTGTTGTAAACCGCCCTGAACCCGCTTGCGGGAAAAGGCGGGATATAAATTGAATACACTAAACTAAACTAAACTGGGTTGAGGAAACCAGGCTATCAATATCCAAATAAATATATTAAATAAGTGGTATTTAACTTTGCAGACAACAAACTGAGCATAGATGCAGGCTGCAGAAGTTATCATAGATGTGGTCTGGCGGGGGTGGGGGGGAATCTAAAATTCTTGCTGTCAGAATCTTCCAAGACAAGGAATTTTTTTGAACCAGTCCCCCGCTCTCCTAGTTCCAATATGGTATCACACATGAACATTTTATACCGCCAGATGTTTCATTGTTCTCATTTTTAGAGCATCACGCTTGACCCACAGTGGTTGTGAATGCAAATAGCACACACAGCTGATCCGTACACAGGAATCGACGCATTCAGATTGGAAACAATACCAGAGCTAAACTGTTTTTGGCGCCTTCTCCCCCTCCCCCTCCTGCCTTTTGACTGTTATTCATTGCAAATTGTTGACTGTTAATTTAATTAAATGTTTTGTTTTAATATGAGAGACTGTACGGCAGCGCTCTGGCTTGCCATTCAATTTTAATTAATTGCATACCTCCAGATTTGATTGCTCATAGCTCCTCTTTTCGTTAATTTACTCTTTCACAGTTTTGACAGAAAAGCTTCCTAACGGGGAGGGGGGGGGGGGTACCATTGAACCAGTTTCCAGTCTTCAAAAAAAATGGTGCTCAGACATATTCTCATTCTAGTCCACTGGGCTGCCAGAGAGAGCATTAATGCCTCCTCTGCCACAGGCCTCCCTGTGTCCTTCACTTTGGCTCCCAGCTTTGTATGGTGCTAACACGATTCCTGTAGGTGTTGCTGCTGAGCACTTTGTGGCCACTTGTAAAAGGCTATTTTGAGGGAATAGTCGTGAAAAAAAGTGGGATAGTACGTTGAAATTTAATTTTGCTTTTTCATAGACCACATTGTCCCAAGGTTTCATCATGGAATCTTTCTCCCACCATGGAATCTGCCTCAGTGGTAGAACATATGATTTGCATGAAGGAAGTCTCAGAGTCAATCTGCGGCATTTCTTTGTGGTGGTTCTTGGGTACCGGGCGCTGGGAAAGACCATTTTCTGCCTGAGAGCCTATAGAGTCACTGCCACCCTTTGACGACCAGTGGTTGTTAGCAATGTTCCCTCTAAGCTGTGGAGTATTGTGAGCAAAAATTCTACTTTGTGAGCTACTGGCATTAAAGTTTTGAGAGAGCAATTTGGCTGCTGCATAAATTAGTTTGTTCTGGAGCCATCCTTCCTGAGCTAAGACAAAAACGTGTGAGCCAGAGGCTAAAAAACTGTGAGCTAGATCACACTAACTCAGCTTAGAGGCAACACTGGTTGTCAAATAAGCATTTTCCTGTTTTGTAAATATGCTGGGGGAAAGTTCACACATATATATCAACCGGATGATATTTGCAGGGTTTATGAATGACTTACACGTGTGAACAAACCTTGTTGAGGAACATTTCACAGGGTGGTCACACATTCTATGCCGAATTACCAAGTGTGAAATAGTCAACAGATAAGGGAAAGTGATGTAGTCTTATGGATGTGTATTTTCTGACGTATTCACTACCTTAATATCTGCTCTTTATTCTTGGGGCAAGGGTTGGGGAATGTCCCTTCCTGCACCAGAAAACTGCTGTGCTATTTGAACACACAAAGTGGCCTTATACTGAATCAGACGAGCAGTCCATCAAGATGAGTGTTGCTTACCCAAATTGGCAGTGGCTCTCCGGGTTCTCAGGCAGAGGTCTCTCACATCACCCACTACCTGGTCTTTTCAACTGGAAGTGCTGGGGATTGAACCTGGGACCTTCTGCATACTAAGCAGAAGCTCTACCACGAAGCCACAGCCCCTCCCTATATCCAGTTTTTAAGAACATTTTGGCATGTGTATTTCAGGTTGGTGTGGCGTTATCCTGCCAATATAGGAACTACCAAATTCAGTTTAAGTGTTTGTTGTGACAATAATTGCAGGATTATAATATGGTGATATATTAGAGGGTTGTTTCGCATTACTGGGGGGGTCATTGCTGGGGTGTGTGTAAAAAGGTAGCTAAAACTGGGTGCATTAGTGATAAGCATAACCCTGTTCTATTAGTAACATAGTAGTGTAAAAAGGTGTGACAATTACATGCATGTGTTGTCAGTCTTGACCTCGTAGCCTTGCCCAACACTCTTTAGATACAAAGCCCCAGGGTGTTTTAATGAAAGGGCTACAAAGAACAATGTCTCTGAGCACATACAGAGTGGTGTGCATCCAGTCACACAGTTCCTGCAACTGAACCAGCATTTTCGTCTGTGGGGAAGGGAGGGGGGTGTCAATCTCCACTCATTCCCCTCTCTCACTTTGCCCCTTGTTCTGTGTCTGAGAGTTTGCTGTTCCCCAGGAGCAAAGCTGGGGGTGTGTCAGTGGGACGCAGGAGAAGGAGGAAGTCCTCCTCTGCAAAGTCCATGGATGACTGGATGTGCACCAGGACATTTCCCTGACGTTCAGCCATGGCAATCTGTCCCGCACCCACTTAGTATTCAGAGGGGCTTCCTTCCAAGGCAGATGGTTAATCCCCATACCAACTTCATCTCTGGCATTTTTAAGAAAAGTTAAGCACTTTCCCAGTCTTCCTTGGAAGCATTCTAAGAACTCAGTCTGGATTAAAAAAATTTTTTTTTCTTATAACATACTGTTTGCAGGACATCTCCTGCAATATGTTAGCCTGATGCTTCAAACTGGACTGTAGTGCTTTCTTTTCATCATTCTGTGACCTGTCCTTGAAAAACTGAAGAACCAAAGAGGCCTGCCACCCTTCCCATTTTGCAATAGCCCCCTCCCCCAGCTATTTATCTGTCACGTTTCAATACCATCTTTCTTTTTTGCTTAGTTCTAGTGGCCCTTTCTTACACGCCCAGGGAAATGCTGATCGCCACTTTGGGGTCAGGAAGCAATTTTTCTCCAGTCTGGCTGGAAACCCTGGAGGTTTTTGTCATCTTCTAGGCGTGGGACAGTGGTCACTGGGGGTGTAGGGGGGAGATATTTGTGAATTTCCTGCATTGTGCAGGGGGTTGGACTAGATGACCCTGGAGGTCCCTTCCAACTCTATGATTCTATGATTCTTCCACCATGAAACTCAAGAGAGCTTCCCAAGAGGTCTCCGAGCCGGGCACTGGCCAGACCCAAATGGCCTTGGGTCCTGTTGGGTTTGCCATACTGTATGCCTTCCACCCATTCTTTGGACTTCTGACTTTGACCATTGGTTAAGACCACCACCCCCTACAGCCCCATTCAGCTAGTGTGTGCAAAAGGCAAGATGCTCCAAAGAATGTTGGTTTAAAGCGGTCACTGTCTAAATTTTGGGTCCTGTCTCTCCTTTTGCGGCCAGGTCTAACAGCGGCTGCTATGGCCGAAGCGATGAAGTTGCAGAAGATGAAGCTGATGGCCATGAACAGCCTCCATGGAAGTGGGAGCCAGAATGGGACCGAATCAGAGAACGAAGAGCTGAATTCCAATGCAGGTAAACAGAGATTCTCCAGTGTGTGTGTGTGGCTCATAACATTTGCCCATGCAGAGGAGGAATCCCTTCCATTGCCATCCAGTAGGTATTTGGGCGTCGGGTACCAGACAGAATAGCTATTTGACGAGACCCTCCGATCTTAAAAAAGCTGCTGATTTGCAGCGTTGAAGGTGACCACCCGCCCTTCCCGCTTGGTCTTTGTGCAGCGTGGCTCATGCTGCATTCAAAAAATCAGAATGTTTTTTTGGAAGCGGGCCATAATTTACAGGAAGACCACACACACAATGTAGGGTCCCTCCCCCCATTTGGCACCAGCGAAGCCTTTGTTACACTAACAGGGTTGTTTATTTGTTTGTTTTTTAAAAAAAAGAGATGTTGATCACACTTTTTGATTTTGGCAAGTAGCAGTCCTCATCTCAGCCATGGGGAAAATGACTCTGAATAAAAACTGTGTTTGCAGAGTGACGAAGAGCGATAATTAGCACGCATCGTAGCGTCTTTTGAGCGTGTGTCGCATGCATTATCTTGCTCCTCTTTACAGCAGCCCTCAAAGGGAGGCCACTGTTGCTATCCCTACATTGTGCATGGGGAGGTGATGCAGGGAAAATGATGCCTGGCCTGCTAGTATCAAGGGCAGGTATCCTGGGGTCGCTGCCGGGGCCTGGAAGCCCAAGGCTGAAACATTCGTGCCTTACTGGATGGCAGCCCTGAGATTCTGATGCCCTGACCAGGTGAGCAAGTGAACACCTAGCGGCTATTCCCATTCCGTCACTCACCGTCCAGGTGAAAAACCCAGTGAGAATAGACTGAGGAGGAACTGCCAATGCTTACCTTACTTGAGGAGAGGCGGGGAACTAGACTCTACTGGCAGCATCCATCTTCAAAGGCAGCAAAGAGAACAGGGGGTAGGATAAGGTATGTGCCAGCACCGGCAGTGGCGTAGCTCCAGACTCCAGCAGAGGAGCCTCCCACCCTTGGTAGTTCATATGCATGCTTTGTTTCAAGTCTACATTGATTTCCGGGGAGCCAGTTTGGTGTAGTGGTTAGGAGCGTGGACTCTAATCTGGGAGAACTGGGTTTGATTCCCCACTCCTCCACGTGCAGCGGCTGGTGTGACCTAGGGTCAGTCATAAGTTCTTTAGAGCTGTTCTCTCAAGGGCAGTTCTTGGAAGAGCTCTCTCAGCCCCACCTACCTCACAGGGTGTCTGTTGTGGGGAGCGGAAGGGAAAGGAAAGGAGATTGTAAGCCACTCTGAGACTCCCTTGGGTAGTGAAGGGCAGGGTATACATCCACTGGGTTCTTCTCTTCTTCTTGTGGTCTTGTAGGTGGTCCTTGTATTGTGGGCCCAGACTGTTTGCCACGAGGAGGGACAGTTGTTTGTCATGGGTGTGCTGCTGAGCATGGCATTGCTGTTGCAAGAACATGCCTGCTCTGTCTTAAAGAGTATTCGCTGGCCATGCTCCTTCTAAGCTATGGAGTCTTGTGAGCAAAAATTCTACTTTGTGAGCAACTGGCATGAAAGTTGTGAGCGAGCGTAAATTAGTTTGCTCCGGAATCCTTCTTCCTGAGCTGAGACAAGAATGTGTTAGCCGGAGACTAAAAAACTGAGCTAGCTCACACTAACTCAGTTTAGAGGGAACACTGTTCGCTGGGTGGATTGGGGCCATCACACTGCATGTGTTTCCATCCTGTGTCACTGGGGTAAGGGAATGGAAATTTACAAGGTGCAAGCCCCAATCCATGGGAGATGCTTTTAGACATTATAGGAAGGCAAGGAGATACCCAGAGAATGCTGTTTTTGTCCATGTCTTTTCACTTGTGCAGCTTTCTTTGAGCACTGCCCGAAGATCCAAGGCTGCCGGAGAGTTCCTTATGTTATGAAAAACCCGTAAAAAATTTGTGTGCACATTTGGGTGCTTTGTCTTTTTAAAAAATTACCAAATGTTTGTTTTTTGTGTCACCTAAACGGCTGCTAAAAATAAACGAAATGATGGTGTAAAAGGAAAATAAAAGGAGATTGAATTTTGCCAGCGACTTCTTGACAAAAGGCGGGAAGCGACTCGACAGCCGAGTCAGGAGCCGTGCTAGCGAGGGAAACATTTTATTTTAAGGAGACAGACCTACAGTTTCTTTGATTCGAGGTTGTGTTTAATAGCTTCTGTAATGGTTGCAACATGACTCCGCATCTCGATTTCAGCATGAATAACAACCTGTTCGTGTTTCATTTAGCTCCAAATGAGAAATTCTGCCTTTTTATTGTTTTAGGAAATTAGTCTGTGTACTATTGCTCCTGGAACTTTATAATTAATCACTAAAGGTTACGGCTGTTGAGAGTTTGTGGGAAATAGACGCCTGAACGGTTATAACTGTAGCTGTCAAATCAAAAATATCGGTTTACAGCAGTGGAGTTTGTTATTCTTGGGCTTTTTATTATATGTATTACTGTAACAAAGAGTTGGAAGTTGCCTATTTACTTGATATATGTATATATACAGAGAGAGAGAGAGAGAGAGAGAGAGAGAGAGAGAGAGAGAGAGAGAGAGAGAGAGAGAGAGGCGCCCCCCAATGCAATACTGCATTGTAGTTTCCATCAAAGAGATAGGATTGAAAACCCTTTTAATTCCCCCTCCCCAAAGATGACTGCTATTTTTTTCTGATGGTTTAACTGGAACAGGGAAGGAGTTTAGCAATCTGAATTGAATTAAATGAGATTTGTTTGGGATTTTTTTAAAAAAGATTCTTACTGTATTTTTAAAATTAACTTTTGTCCCAAGGGCGAACCTCCCCAGGGCTGGCCTCCGCCACCTGGGAGCCGCCGACCACCCCAGCCCCAACCTCAGCAGCACTTACCAAGGCCGGAGCCAACCAGTCGCTCCAACGCTGTCGTCCCTGGGACCCAACGAGACGCCTCCGAGGCGCCCAGGCCACGCTGCCAGTGGCGGAGGCTCGGCTTCAGAGGGAGATGTCTCGGAACAGGGGGAGGGGACCACGCCAGGCCAGCGGCCCGGCACGAGGGCACGCCCTCAGCCCCGAGCTGCCTGGAGGGAGAGAGATTAGGGTTAGGGTTAGGGTTAGGGTTAGCGGGGCGAGCACAGGTGCTGGGGTTGGAGAGAGGGAACCGGAAGGAGACTGCGCCCCCAGCTCAGTGTCCTAGCCTAAGAAGGGAGGGCGGGGCCAAAGTGGTGGGTGGAGGGCGGAACTTCGGGCAGAGCAGGTGTCACGGAGCAGGAATAAAAAGGGGAACAGGAACAGAGGCCGAGGAGGATGAGATGGCACTGGCGGCACTAAGGGCAGGAGACAGAGAAGGAGCAGCCTGAACACACCAAGGGTGAGCAGAGGGTGGTGACGTAACCTTCTCCCCTCCCGACTGTCCGAGGCCTCTGTGGTTCCCCTCTTCCACTCCCCGGGTGGCAGGTCACGGTGGCTTATAGGTCGGAGCAGCAGGGGACCAGGGACAAGGGGTCGTCCAGCTCATGTGACAACTTTGAAGTACTGTAGAGTTTCTGTGGGTGTGACACACCGTGGCTCCTCCACAAGGATCTGACCGTCTTCCAGTTGCCCTTCATGTGCTCCAAGCTTGGTTCTTTGGGGTGATATGAATTTTACCACCTCTCTGCTCTTCTTTCCTGAAAATCCCTGTTTTGCCTTTGCTTAACAAGTGAGAACCTGTTATATTGTAACTTGCGCTGAGCCCGCTTGCAGGGGAGGGTGGGATATAAATCCAAATAAATAAATATCTCGTTTAAAACAGTTTTGTTATGTAAAAAAACAGATATACCATGGATGATAGAAATGACTGTTTACATATGTACCAGTACAGAATTACATAGAAAGAACTATCATGATTCCACAGACTTAATAAAATTTTTGTTGTTGTTGTTCAGTCGCACAGTCGAGTCCGACTCTTTACGACCCCATGGACCACATCATGCCAGGCCCTCTTGTCTTCCGCCGTCCTCCGGAGTTTGCTCAATTTCATGTTCATTGCATCGATAACACTCTCTAACCATTTCCCAGCATCAGGGTCTTCTCCAGTGAGTGCTCCCTTCTCATTTGGTGGCCAAAGTATTTGAGCTTCAGCTTCAGTATCTGTCCTTCCAGGGAACAGTCAGGGCTGATTTCCTTTAGGATTGACTGATTTGATCTCCTTGCAGTCTAAGGGACTCTCAAGAGTCTTCTCCAGCAACATAATTCAAAAGAATCTATTCTTCGGCGCTCAGCCTTCCTTATGGTCCAACTCTCACAGCCATGCATTACTACTGGGAATACCATTGCTTTGACCATGCGGACTTTTGTTGGCAGGGTGATGTCTCTACTTTTTATCATGCTGTTTAGGTTCGCCATCGCTTTCCTCCCAAGGAGCAGGCGTCTTTTAATTTCATGGCTGCAGTCACCGTCTGCAGTGATCTTGGATCCCAGGAACGTGAAGTCTGTCACTGTTTCCATGACTTCCCCTTCTAATAAAAATTACTATTTTAAAATATTTTCTTTATAGCAACATTCCACTGTGTCAAAAGCTTACATACATTTTAATACCTTCTTCCTGATTATATCTGATATACTGCACATCAATAATGCCAATATTTTATAAGAGACACCAGCTTTTTCTAAATGTATTTTGAGATCAACTCCTTGACCCTATGCATTTATAAATTAAAATATTGTTCATAAGTTTTATATGCCAGACCCTATATAACCAATATTGTTTTTTCCTAGATTATTTGTTGTTTCCAAACTTCAACCAATGTCATCCTCACTGCAATTCTTAAACTGTAAAGCTTTTTCATTCCTATTGATACATCTCCTAGTAGGTAGTTCACAGGGGACAAATCAGATACACCCTGCAATACACATTATTTCCTTTTGCACATATTCCAAAGGCTTTGAACTAAATCACCTCTCCATTGCAAATGTAGACCAGTGCCTCTTAACTCACTACATTTCTAGTGAAGTTCATCTTTTCCTGAAATTTTGGCTAATCTGGTCAGGATAAGAATGCC